CCCCCCCCCCCTCACCAAATTTAACTTTAATAAATAAACTTTATTGTGTGTAGAAGAGAATATCAATTAAGCCAACGATAAATCATGACCAACGATAAATAATGATTTCTTCCAGTAATATGAATGTACTGATCTCATAAATAAAGGTGAGATCTAGTTTATGAATGTACTGATCTAATAAGTAAAGGTTGGATCTAGTTTATGAATGCACGGATCTAATAAGTAAAGTTAAGCTCTGTATTTTATGAATGTATTGATCTAATAATTAAAGATATGCTTTGATAATTAGTTTATGTTCAAAAAAAATCTTTTAATACTATGAACATTTAGAAATTGTGGAGGTTCCGTCCATCCATGTGGCGCTACAGCCCGTGTATAGGGCTTTGGCCTGCCCCACCACTTCCTTCCACTCAAACCATCTAATGCTTTACTTTTACATGCTTGGACACCAAGCTGCTGTAGATCCTTTTCCACGTCATCCATCCATCTAAGCCTACGTCTGCCTTTGGGCCGTCTTCCTCTGGGGTTTTGGTGGTGTACCCTCTAAGTGTCTTTCTAAGTGTCCCACCCAGCATTGCCTACCATTTTTTATTTGCTTGAAATCCTGATATAGACTGTACAATGCCTGGTAGGTTCATGTTCTCCACCAATATTCCTCAAAAGACTGTACAATGCCTGGAGGGTTCGTTTTATTAACCCATATTCCTCAATTGTTGGTCCATACATTTTCCGCAAAAAAACTTTCTCTCCAATGTGTTTAACAGGTTTTCTGACATTTTTTTAGATAGTGGAGAATGGTTTTCTTGAATCATAAGTTTTTCTTGAATCATAGGTTTGTCTTGAATCATTGGTTTGTCTTGAAACAAAGGTTTGTCTTGAATCAACAGTTTGTCTTGAATCAACAGTTTGTCTTAAATCATTGGTTTGTATTGAATCATTGGTTTGTCTTGAATCATTGGTTTGTCTTGAATCATTGGTTTGTCTTGAATCATTGGTTTGTCTTAAATCATCTCGTCAAATGACTGGAGAAGAGCTATTTAAAACCAAATCTTGGATTAGTACAATGATTTTCAACTGCTTTCTATAACTAATTATTTCAATTTCCAAGACACACCATGACATAACAATTACACACCAAGACACATGATGACATATCATGACACACCATGACATACCATGACATACCACGACACACGATGACATACCATGACATAATAAGACACACCAAGACACACGATGACATACCATGACATAGCAAGACACACCATGACATACCATGATATACCATGACATAGCAAGACACACCAAGACACACGATGAAATACCATGAGATGACAAGACACAACATGACACACCATGACATACCATGACACACCATGACACACCAAGACACACCATGACCTACCAAGACTAGCCATGATATAACATGACACACCAAGACACACCATGACACACCATGACACACCATGACACACCCCTACAGATTAATAATTTACAGTGTGTTTTTATTAACCACGTTGAAAAGACATAAAACAAACTTAAATGATTTAGCTTTATTGTGACTCAGTTGAAAAACGACAAAACCAATAACTAAAAAAAATAAAGATTTAATTATTAAATATGTTTATTTATCTCTACACTCTTTTTCATTCCTGCGCTCTGCTTTTCTGTATGCCTCTTTGTCTCTGTATCTCACAGCACCTTCAACTTTTTGCCTCTTTGTCTCTGTATCTCACAGCACCTTCAACTTTTTGCCTCTTTGTCTCTGTATCTCACAGCACCTTCAACTTTTTGCCTCTTTGTATCTCACAGCACCTTCAAACTATTTCCCTCTCTACTAATAACAAGCTTAGTGCAATCCGATTAGTTCCAAGACTTGACAGGCGAGAGGCGATCGAAATGAATGGGATTTCATTACACAGCGGGGTTACTACCACCCCGGGTATACAGGCAGTGGCGTTTCTACCACCCCCTGGTGCACTGGCAGTGGCGTTACTACCACCCCCTGGTGCACTGTCAGTGGCGTTACTACCATCCCGGGTATACTGTCAGTGGCGTTACTACCACCCCGGGTATACTGGCAGAGGCGTCGGGCTTAGTGACGTAGCTAGGGTTGGTGCTTCCCTGGGTGGGCCAAAATTGTTGTCCCCTAACCCTCCACGATAAAAAACGATGTATTTTACCGAAAATGCCACCCCTCCCGGGGCGTACCACCCATCCACCCCTTTCCAACGCCACTGTTCGTGCTTATACTTATTGGTTGCCAATCAATCAATAAAGCTACGCCACTGATCACATACCTCACTCCTCCAACCCACACAACCTCGTTGCCAGTCTTCTCATAAACGCTCCAATTTTTTTTTATTAGTCTGAGACTGACTTCATTCATTTAGAGCGCCTTGACTTTTGTTCATGACTTACGATCTCAGATCTCTGGGCCGTTTACCGTGTTTGTCAATGAATCAATTTGTTTACAATTTAGAGGCGTACTGTCGTTATTTTAAATATTCCTTGGACGAATTTTCTCATTTCGTTGACGCAAGTTTTTAATGTTAGTCATTGAAGCACTTAATTCCTGGCCACAGTAGGTGCCAAAAGTCGAAGTCTTGTCTTGTGTGCCCCGTGTTGGGAAACTTGTCGACTTTCATTCAGCCAGTGACTGGGGCTTTAGCCTTTGAAACGATTACAAACAATAAATGGCTATTCAAATCAAATGTAGCTACTCAAGAGTGTAGCGACCCAAGAGTGTAGTGACTCAAGGGGTGTTAGATAAACAGATTGCTGTGTGCTATGTTGCAGATTTTTGTTTTTACTGCGGCATGTTACGTTGATAATGACTGACGACTTAGAAGGTCTTTATAATCGATCGTTATTTTGAAAGAAATTCTTCTTATTGCTCAAATTTCAACTGTAAGTTTAGACCCTCGGTGTTTCCTATTTTTTACACATACTTTGATTTGTTTATCAAAACAGATTTTCACTTTTGTCGGGCTTAAACAAACATTGTTTCACCGTCACCTTCAAAGTAGACGAACTAAAATATTTTATTTTAAGCTACGCAAAGTTATATGGCGTCGTTTTTCTTCATTGCAATTTTAACAATTTCAGAGATTTCAGAGATTTCATTTATTTCACACGAGTTTCTCAATGAAATTAAGAATTATTTTTTAAAATAAAATTAGTAATTTTAAAAAAAAAATGAAACACTTACACGAGTACAAGATTTGTTTGTTTGTTAAAGAAATAGGTCTTTATTTATAATAATAAATGTTAATTTATTCCAAAGGACTCTTATTATGGTTAGGTAATTCTAAAATTTCTCGTCATAACACACTTGCTGTTTTTGTGTGTTTCTTGCAGGACTGTGTTGTGAATAGAAGTTTCGATGTCGAGATTATTTCTCAAGAGGCATCTATGATGACGTCATCACAGAATTTTTCTGAAGGGGTGCATAGTCTAAAGGAATAGTGATGCTTCACTTGGAGCTTTAGGAAGTCTAAATGAAAGATTGTCTGCCCATATAGATGGAACGTGAACACATAAAATGTTTATTCCAATGTCAACTGTTCTGAAATTTGATAGCGAATGAGCCTAACCTCTTTCTGTATCTCGGCTTTGCGTCAGTCTACTAAAAAGATGCAATTAAATTAACACACTACTAGAAGAAGACGCTTATAAATCTGGGGCGGAAAGTTTTAATTTACTAAAGGGCAGGGAGACATAAAACAAATATGGATGACGTAAGCCTTAAATCCTCGACTGGCTGCAGTGAAGGATTCGGCCAATCGCAGGCAATGACTCCACAATCGCAGGCACTGACCACTGACGGACGCATGAAGATTGGTCTTTTTGCTGCATCGAGACAGCCAGCTAAACCAAGAGACATCAAGAGTTTCCAGATTTTACACAGTCCTCGTGTATATGGGTAAGAATTAGTAGGTAATAGTATGAAATAATGGGTAAGAAATAGTATTGAATAGTACAATATCTTTAAAATTACTTATTTTTTCAATGGCTTAGTTCTATTCAACACTTAAATCAATTGAGATTATATATAATATTCAACGTTTGTGTAGTTACTGTTGACATTTGAGATTATATATAATATTCAAAGTTTATCATGCTTACTGTTGACATTAAGATTATGTATAATATTCAAAGTGTGTGTCCACTGATAACATTTGAGATGATATATAATATTCAAAGCGTGTTATCCTTTGTTGGCAATGAATTTATCGATACGGTCGAAGAACAATTGATGCTCTATGTGAAGAATACTTTTAAAAAATCTTCACGGTCTTTAAACCACAGTGTCCATTACCAATTTATTTGACCTTTAAACCAGTGTCCATTACCAATTTATTTGACCTTTAAACCAGTGTCCATTAACAATTTGTACCACAACAGAATATTTTCAATGGCTATACAAATTATTTAAAAAATAGGTCACTGTATTCGGAGATGATTTCTACTTTTGAAGCATCAAACAAAACACTGAATAGAGTTAGTATTAATTTAACCCAGCAGTGGGGTGCCTTGACTCAATGCCCCCCACCTCCCCCGCTTCATAATCAGCGCCGTCTAGCACACAGACAACATGTATATCTATTTATTTATTTATTTAGGCATTTTTATATAGCGCTTACCTTAAAGCTCTAAGCGCTTTACAATTATTTAAAACATGTAAACTAAGTAAAATAAAAATGAGACACTAGGATAGTAACTACTATAGAAACAATTAAAATGGCTATAAAACGAGGACACTTTGGCCCGTTTTGGCCTATATAATGTTATAAAAAAAAAAATCTTTCGAGTCTCTAGTTATGCCACTGTATTAAAAAAAATTGACGTTACTTTACTTTCTTTTCTTTCTTTTTTTTTTTTTTTTTTTTTTTTTTTTTTGTTACCTACGTTATAGGGTCACGTGGTAGCGTCACGTGGAGTTAACGAATAACAAGGGAGTAAGATAAAAATAGATGGCGTTTTGTTTTTAATCCACTGTTTGCTAAAACAACATCTACGTCACTAAAGATCATCATGAATATGACAAGTTAATAGTGCCTGGAGAAAACGATCGATGTCATGACCTCTCACAGTTCAGGAGGGAAAAAAAGAGTGGGGGGGGGGGGGGGGGTGCAGGCCAGTTAAACCAGGTTTCATGATCGTAAGAGTATTCAGTTTGCTTAGGGACGTATAACTTTTAAATACATCACATATAGATTAAACCATTTCAAAATTTCAACCAAAATGTGTCTTAAAGAGCCATAATGTCTTAAAGAGCAATAATGTCTGAATATAACCAGATTTGTTTAGAGCAGTAAGCCATTTTATAATCATTGTTTGTCTTATTAAACATAAACTGGCGACATCAATTACACAACAGACCGAGTGGTCCAGGCTTCCAAAGGAAACTAACTGATCGATGGTAGAAATCAAAACGTAGTAACCTACCCAGTGCCCTACCCCCACAAACAAACACTTAGTTCCTAAACCAATGTCAACTATGCCGAATCAGAAAATAAAATAGCATTACAACAACAAAGTCTGGAATGTTTACAAACTTCGGTTTGTAGGTCACGACTATAACAATTCATCTCATGTCAACAATATTACTATTACCAACCATTCATGTCAGTTAGACCACATTACTTTTACTCACACTAGGATCATTCATCTCATGTCAACAATATTACTATTACCAACCATTCATGTCAGTTAGACCACATTACTTTTACTCACACTAGGATCATTCATCTCATGTCAACAATATTACTATTACCAACCATTCATGTCAGTTAGACCACATTACTTTTACTCACACTAGGATCATTCATCTCATGTCAACAATATTACTATTACCAACCATTCATGTCAGTTAGACCACATTACTTTTACTCACTCTAGGATCATTCATCTTATTTCAACACTTTTACTGTTACTCACCATTACAACCATTCATCTCATATCAACAATATAACCTTTACACATCACTAGAACCATTCATCTCATGTCAACAATATTACCTTTACACACCACTAGAACCATTCATCTCATGTCAACAATATTACCTTTACACATCACTAGAACCATTCATCTCATGTCAACAATATAACCTTTACACATCACTAGAACCATTCATCTCATGTCAACAATATTACCTTTACACACCACTAGAACCATTCATCTCATGTAAACAATATTACCGTTACACACCACTAGAACCATTTATCTCATGTCAACAATATTACCTTTACACACCACTAGAACCATTCAACTCATGTCAACAATATTACCTTTACACACCACTAGAACCATTCATCTCGTGTCAACAATATTACCTTTACACACCACTAGAACCATTCATCTCATGTCAACAATATTACCTTTACACATCACTAGAACCATTCATCTCATGTCAACAATATTACCGTTACACACCACTAGAACCATTCATCTCGTGTCAAAAATATTACCTTTACACACAACTAGAACCATTCATCTCGTGTCAACAATATTACCTTTACACACCACTAGAACCATTCATCTCATGTCAACAATATTACCTTTACACATCACTAGAACCATTCATCTCATGTCAACAATATTACCTTTACACACCACTAGAACCATTCATCTCGTGTCAAAAATATTACCTTAACAAACCACTAGAACAATTCATCTCATGTCAACAATATTACCTTTACACACCACTAGAACCATTCATCTCGTGTCAAAAATATTACCTTTACACACCACTAGAACAATTCATCTCATGTCAACAATATTACCTTTACACACCACTAGAACCATTCATCTCGTGTCAACAATATTACCTTTACACACCACTAGAACCATTCATCTCGTGTCAACAATATTACCTTTACACACCACTAGAACCATTCATCTCGTGTCAAAAATATTACCTTTACACACCACTAGAACCATTCATCTCATGTCAACAATATTACCTTTACACACCACTAGAACCATTCATCTCGTGTCAAAAATATTACCTTTACACACCACTAGAACCATTCATCTCATGTCAACAATATTACCTTTACACACCACTAGAACCATTCATCTCATGTCAACAATATTACCTTTACACACCACTAGAACCATTCATCTCGTGTCAAAAATATTACCTTTACACACCACTAGAACCATTTATCTCATGTCAACAATATTATCTTTACACACCACTAGAACCATTCATCTCGTGTCAACAATATTACCTTTACACACAACTAGAACCATTCATCTCATGTCAACAATATTACCCTTACACACAACTAGAACCATTCATCTCATGTCAACAATATTACCTTTACACACCACTAGAACCATTCATCTCATGTCAAAAATATTACCTTTACACACCACTAGAACCATTCATCTCATGTCAACAATATTACCTTTACACACCACTAGAACTATTCATCTCGTGTCAAAAATATTACCTTTACACACCACTAGAACCATTTATCTCATGTCAACAATATTACCTTTACACACCACTAGAACCATTCATCTCGTGTCAAAAATATTACCTTTACACACCACTAGAACCATTCATCTCATGTCAACAATATTACCTTTACACACCACTAGAACCATTCATCTCATGTCAACAATATTACCTTTACACACCACTAGAACCATTCATCTCGTGTCAACAATATTACCTTTACACACCACTAGAACCATTCATCTCATGTCAACAATATTACCGTTACACACCACTAGAACCATTCATCTCATGTCAACAATATTACCTTTACACACCACTAGAACCATTCATCTCATGTCAACAATATTATCTTTACACACCACTAGAACCATTCATCTCATGTCAACAATATTACCTTTACACACCACTAGAACCATTCATCTCATGTCAACAATATTACCTTTGCACACCACTAGAACCATTCATCTCGTGTCAACAATATTACCTTTACACACCACTAGAACCATTCATCTCATGTCAACAATATTACCTTTACACACCACTAGAACCATTCATCTCATGTCAATAATGTTACTATTACCACAAGAACCATTCATCTCATGTCAACTAATCCAGCCTCTATGCTTATTTTTCATCATACATTTAATTTGAGATCCATTATTGGATCACTTGACCAAACAAAAACATGACGTTGTAATTGCAAAACACAATCAATCCAGTACGGCAATGATTCGCCAGACAATATTTGATCGCTATCTTGTAACCAGCCAGTAATGGACATCTCCCACGACCTGCAACAGATGTAGCCAAGCTGTGCATTACTTAGTTTCACACAGACTGGGGCTATGCTATTATTTTTTATAACGATAAAAGTAACTCGGTTCTTAAAGTAACCGAAGTGCTGTAACCATGTCATGTCTCCAATAGATCTTGTATTCATTTGTCTCCAATATATGTTTTAATCGTATGTCTCCAATAGATCTTGTATTCATTTGTCTCCAATATATTTTTTAATCGTATGTCTCCAATAGATCTTGTATTCATTTGTCTCCAATATATGTTTTAATCGTATGTCTCCAATAGATCTTGTATTCATTTGTCTCCAATATATTTTTTAATCGTATGTCTCCAATAGATCTTTGTTGTCGTGTTTAGGCCCATCTAGATTTTAGATGTTCAAAATTAACCCACCCAACCTACCCGACTCTAATTAACCCACCCAACCTACCCGACTCTTATTAACCCACCCAACCTACCCGACTCTAATTTACGCACAATGTATTATTTATATATACCGGTATATAAACAGCTTATCTCCAAATCTTTAAAAACGTTTCTATAGGGAATGTATACAAGATAAATATTCTAAAGTGGTTCCCAAACATTTATTCCAAACATTAATGTTTGGTTGATTGAAGAGACACATTTTTAAGATACCATAAGACCCATTTTTATGTAGGCCCAGAGACGTCACTGGGGTTGGTGTCACCTAGTGCGATAAACTCCTCATGTCACCCCCCTCCCTTCGGAGTCCAACACCGGATCACATTAAGTTTCCTTCTTCACCACACATTTACTAAATTGTCTTAAACTGGATCTACTTCATCATGATGAGAGTTCCATCAGGTTGTTGATAGTCTTTTCAATGCCATTCCAGAGTGTTCAATTAAAACATCACATCTGTAGAAAAGCAGGAAACATCTCTCGCAAGATAAACACCAAATGTGTCACGTGATGCAGTCTCAGCAAATGAGTTTTGACCTTAAAAATTATATCCATTAAAAATAGTTTTATGAATTGTGACAGCATGAGTGACTGACAATTATTCTTGTGCTTGTAGTGTTTATTAATTGTACTTTGTGACTCGATGGTCCTGTGTTGTGGTAATGGTGTATGACTGGACGTGGTGAGTTGTTTCCATGAATATTTAAACTTAAATGTGTTTATTGGTTGAAGAACTGAAGCGAGTGGCCATGTGATGTAGGGTTTAAAAAGAATGCAGAATGGTGAATAAAGTTAGTTGTTACACAGACTTGAGTTGATCTTTTATACTTTTATTATACTATTACAGAAATTGTGCAAGCATTTTCGATTTTTTTTTATTCCACCCCTTTCCAGTTATTTATGAATGTAAGAAGCACTACTCTCAATCCACCTTTTAGAATGTGGATTTTCCCCACATCTGATCACCGCAGAATCTGGTCGATGAGCCATAGGCCAGCTGGGAGTTTTAATATGATTCCAAAATACAAAAAGAATGTACTTCCGAGTTTATCGTTGATATTTTTCTGAAGTGAACGTCGCTAAACAATGACCCGATTAGGGCGTCACAAATCTAAGCTCAATGCCCCTTATCTTATGATACCCTGTTCTTGTGCACCTTGCTCTTGTTGCACCCTGGTCTTATGACCCCTTGATCTTATGACACCATGTTCTTGTGCGCCCTACTCTTATGACACCCTGTTTTTGTGGAGCCCTGTTCTTATGACACCCTGGTGTTATGAGCCCCTGTTGTTATGACACCCTGTTTTTGTGAAGCCCTGTTCTTATGACACCCTGGTGTTATGAGCCCCTGTTCTTATGACACCCTGTTTTTGTGAAGCCCTGTTCTTATGACACCCTGGTGTTATGAGCCCCTGTTCTTATGACACCCTGTTCTTGTGCGGCCTTTTCTTATGACACCATGTTCTTGTGAAGCCCTGTTCTTATGACACCTTAATCTTATGACCCGCTGTTCTTGTGACACCATGTTTTATGACACCCTTTTCTTGTGGCGCACTGTTCTTGTGGCACCCTGGACTTATGACACCCTGTTCTTGTGGCACCCTGGTCTTATGACACCCTGTTCTTGTGACGCCCTGTTCTAATAACACCCTGTTTTGTGGTGCCCTTTTTTGTGAAACCCTGATCTTATGACGCCTTGTACTTGTGGCGCCCTGTTCTTGTGGTGCCCTGTTCTTGTGGTGCCCTGTTCTTGTAGTGCCCTGTTCTTGTGACGCACTGCTCTAATAACACTCCGATCTATTTTGTGGCGCCCTTTTCTTGTGGCGCCCGTTCTTACGGCGCCCTGATCTTATGACGCATTGTACTTGTGGCGCCATGTTCTTGTGTCACGGCGCCCTTGTACCGCTCAGTCTGGTGGCACCCTGGTCTAGCATTTAAATTAGATCAGTTGTGAAACAAACTCGGGCGACCTTTTCAAATCTGCAATCTTCTATTGGGTGTCACCCCTGTGAGTGTGTGACCCGTTACAGTCCACACCCCCCCCCCCTTGACGCCACTGTGTAAGCCTACGATGTTGTATTTATTTGACCATTTTTGTGTTGATAGTTGATATTTGTATTCAATTTTAAATGACTTATTCATCTGATATATACTGTAATTAAAAGCCTTGACTCCATGATTTTTCTTTCAGAAGCGCAGAACTGCTTCTTCAATACGAGTCTGCCTGCAGACAACAGGACCAGTACCTGCAAGAAATTAAAGACTTGTGGTCCATGTTCCGCAGTAAATCAGCCAGTCCCACCAGTAAGACATTGTTGAACGACAAACCTCGTAATCAAAAAGGTTATTTTTGGACCCCCCTGCTCCCTTTACCAAGTCGAACTGATGACAGATCCCCGAACAGGGCCTGTGTGTTACATGCCCGGAAACACAGGGCCACGTCACATACTACTGGTACAGTGGGTCGTCACGATAAGAACACGACAGCGCCTCCTCCAAAATCCTCTGCCAAAACTGATAAAGTGGACACACGCAAGGTGATTCAGCCCATCAAGCTGCCGCCCATCGAGGAACTTGATCGATATGAGACCGATTACGAACCCATTGAACACATCGCCCGACGCAACCAACTGAATCTCAACATGTATCTCAAAGAAGGGAGGACACTGAATAACCTGACACCAAGTGAATCAAGCGATGACTGAAGTCAAAGCCCTGTTGTGTAGCGACGCCACTGTGGCTGTGTATCCGTCTGAAAGGATATTGTTTATAAATTCCACATTAAAAAGTTTGCTTTTAAGTCACCCATCATCGTTTGAAATGTAACGTAATCAACGTGTTTTTATGTATCGGTATTAGTAATCGCTTCCCGAGTGACATCTGAGAATTCATCCATGTATTAATTGTAAAGCATCCGTCAAAATAAAACATAAATATATAAATTCAAGCATCGATTTTTTTTGTCCGCTTTAAAAAATTCATTGTTGACTAGTGGCAATGAATATTTATAAAGTTTAGGAAAAAAGGGGGAAATGTACATCGGCTGTGTACAACATATCAGTTCTGGTGTTTAATTTAACCTCACATAGAGCTGTCGCGTAGGCCCTGGGATCGCAATGGTCCTCCGATATTTAAAGAGCCCAAATATGTGAAGCGGACAAAATTGTCACTTTCAAGTCCGGTCACAAAACCAAAGAGTGACTGGGGTTGGGGGAAGGAGGGCACAACGGTTACACTTAGGAGTGCCTGGGGTTGGGGGAAGGAGGGCACAACGGTTACACATAGGAGTGCCTGGGGTTGGGGGAAGGAGGGCACAACGGTTACACTTAGGAGTGCCTGGGGTTGGGGGAAGGAGGGCACAACGGTTACACATAGGAGTGCCTGGGGTTGGGGGAAGGAGGGCACAACGGTTACACATAGGAGTGCCTGGGGTTGGGGGAAGGAGGGCACAACGGTTACACATAGGAGTGCCTGGGGTTGGGGGAAGGAGGGCACAACGGTTACACTTAGGAGTGCCTGGGGGCACAAAGGTTACACTTAGGAGTGTCGGGGGGCACATAGGTTACACTTAGGAGTGCCTGGGGAGCAGAAAGGTTACACTTATGAGTGCCTGGGGAGCAGAAAGGTTACACATAGGAGTGCCTGGGGGGCACATAGGTTACACTTAGGAGTGCCTGGGGAGCAGAAAGGTTACACTTAGGAGTGCCTGGGGAGCAGAAAGGTTACACTTAGGAGTGCCTGGGGGGCACATAGGTTACACTTAGGAGTGTCTGGGGGCACATAGGTTACACTTAGGAGTGCCTGGGGGGCACATAGGTTACACTTAGGAGTGCCTGAGGGGCACATAGGTTACACTTAGGAGTGCCGGGGGGCACATAGGTTACACTTAGGAGTGCCTGGGGGCACATAGGGTACACTTAGGAGTGCCTGGGGAGCAGAAAGGTTACACTTAGGAGTGCCTGGGGGGCACATAGGTTACACTTAGGAGTGCCAGGGGGGCACAGAGGTTACACTTAGGGGGGTGGGGGGGCACATAGGTTACACTTAGGAGTGCCTGGGGGGCACATAGGTTACACTTAGGAGTGCCTGAGGGGCACATAGGTTACACTTAGGAGTGTCGGGGGGCACATAGGTTACACTTAGGAGTGCCTGGGGGCACATAGGTTACACTTAGGAGTGCCTGGGAGGCAGAAAGGTTACACTTAGGAGGGCCTGGGGGGCACATAGGTTACACTTAGGAGTGCCTGGGGGCACATAGGTTACACTTAGGAGTGCCTGGGGAGCAGAAAGGTTACACTTAGGAGTGCCTGGGGGGCACATAGGTTACACTTAGGAGTGCCGGGGGGGGCACAAAGGTTACACTTAGGAGTCCCAGGGGGGCACATAGGTTACACTTAGGAGTGCCGGGGGGACACATAGGTTACACTTAGGAGTGCCTGGGAGCACATAGGTTACACTTAGGAGTGCCTGGGGGGCACATAGGTTACACTTATTCTCTCTCTAAATCGACAGGCATGAGTTTTTATTAACTCCCTTGATAAAGTTTTAGAAAATTTGGGGCACCGTGGTAATCACACCTTCATGCAAATGTGGGACACCGAGGTAATCTAACCATCGTGCAAAGGTGGGACATCCAGGTAATAACACCTTCATGCAAATTTGGGAGATCGAGGTAATAACACCTTCATGCAAATGTGGGACACCGAGGTAATCACACCATCGTGCAAATGAGGGGCATCAAGGTAATAACACCTTCGTGGAAATTCGTGACACCAAAGTAATCACACCTTTGTGCAGTTGTGGAACACGGAGGTAATCACACATTCCTGCAGATGTGAGACACCGAGGTGGGACACCGAGGTAATCACACCACCTTGAAAATGTGGGACACCTTCAATGAAGGGATAATGCAAGTTTGTCGCTCTACAAAGTAATAATTTACTGACACTAATTATTATTCATTAAAATTGATACAGTTGTGGGGAAAATATTTCAACTTAAGAGACTTGATTTAAGTTGTTTTTAAATCCAAGAAACAGCACACCTTTAAGGCAACACACTGCGAACATTGAACATCCAATGCGACAATTAGTTCTTTCAATAACAAATAATAACATATTCAGAAAACGCAACTTGGTTTATTCTTTTATGTGATGCTTTATTTCCAGACGCATCCTAGTAAATCTATGTAAACAAGATTGGCTGCAAATTTAATGGTTATAAAAATCTAAGGCACTGCAACACAGGATGTCATAGCATGGCATGGGATGTCATAGCATGGCACCCAACAGCGTCTTTTTGTTGTCTGTTGAATTTTAGTTAAACTTAATGACGCAAGGAATTTTAAATAACATTAAATTGACAGGATAAAGATTTGCCAAAACCAATCCAAGAGTTAAAGACTTAAAGATTATGAGGCAAACACTAAAGAGTTATGTTTCATTTGGGATATATTATCTATAATCAAATGGGAAAAAAGTCTAATGTTATGATTATTGTAACACAAATGTTCATGAGATTAAAAAGGGGGGGGGGGTGTGTCGGGGCGGGGACGGACTTCTGAATAGAAAATGTTCATTATTTAGAAATGAAAGATAGCATACATAAACAATAGTGTAAGCTTGCACCACCAAAGGCTTATTCTAGAAATTTTTAAAATGTGGACAAGTTAAATGTTATGAACGTGATGATTAAATTCTCCCTTCTATACATAACAATTGCTGGAGGTTTGCTAAAGCTTGACATAACAATTGATTTCTAAAGCTGCACGTAACATAAGAAACATTTTCTCTAAAATATGTTGTAATATCACTAATAAATTCATCTAAAGGGCAAAGTCGGTCATAATATACTTGATAGAATTAAAATAATTCAGACAAATGCAGTTGTAAGATTTCTCTACAAATTTCACAAGTGTTAGAACCAAGTGGCTCTCTGACTTCACAACTATAATCATTTTGAAGGTAGCGCAAAGCCACAGATATCAACATCTATCTCCTGTCACCAAAGTTTAGTTTAAAACTAGGCTTTAGTACATTTTGATCTCATAGTCCCCTGATTGGGGTCAATCAAATTCATTGAATGATGTTGTCACTAGAACATAAATCTGTCAATACCACAGGAGTTGTGTCAAGGATATGAAGTTTTGTTTCAGAAACAGGACACTCCATTCCTATTTGTATTCTAGAATAAGGATAAAAACCCAAGAGCTAACATGACCCCATTTATGCAAGAGTATGTGAATCAATTGAAAACAACTGATTGTGACCTATTAACAAATACCAGAGGCTAGATCAGAATGTAACCTTTAAAAAAAAATTATTTTACTGGCCATTCCCATAGAATTTGCATCATTAAATAAAAAATAAGTTGTTTTCTTTTTTTTTTACAACCCATCATAGGATTGTAATTTATTTTCCAACAACCCATCATATGATTGTAATTTATTTTCCAACAACCCATCATATGATTGTAATTTACTTAAAAACAACTATTTATCATCATATGATGGTAATTTATTTTAAAACCAATTATTTGTCCAAGCAATAATCATAATCTGACCCGGAATGAAGGCACATCCTTGCCCTCTAGTCAACACACTGAAAAGCACATGGCCAGAAAAACATGTGCCCAACTACACATTATTTGTCAAATAGTGTTAGAAAACTATGTGCTGCTGACATTGAGCTTACACTCTCTTCAGTAATTGTACAAATGTTGCTAAACCATCAAATAACAAAACTTTATTAAGTACTTTCAGTTACTTTAGCCATTAAAAGAAAACATATTTAAAAAAAAATCTATTTGACTTTGAATCAATCAAATGCACCAACTCAGATTATAAAGACTGTTTTCTTCTTTAGTTTTTCAGGAACAGAGAGTAGAAATGGATTACAAAAAAAACAATCAACATACTACACATGGTTGGCATTAAATAATTAAACCGGCCATTCATTCTATTCCTGTTGTATTGGTGACAATTGAATTCACTTTCTTCTATTTGAAAAGCAGGGCTTTAAAAAGGGATCTGAAACAATTTAAAACAGGGTTCCCAAATCTAGGGCACTGAAACCCCAGGGGGCACTTGGCCACATTTAGGGGGGCACTTGATGGCATTTAAGGGAGCACTAGATGGCATAGAAGGGGGCGCTAGGGGTTCCCATAGTGCTTTTTACAAGTCAATAAATAAATAAGAAGTTCATATATTTCAAATTTTAAGGTGCATTATTAATTTTGCTGGGGGTGCCGGAGTTGGTAAAAAAATCATTTGGTAGAGGTTAGAGACTTGTTAAATAATCTGTAAGGGGTGCAGCAGAGATTAGAAAAGGTTGGGCAACTCACATCCTGTGACGAACTAATTGTTTCTTATAAACTTCATTAAATTTACTAATAGCCAATTTTAATGTAATGTAATCGAAAAAAAATTGAGATTACTGTAGATAATCGTTCTAGATTTTAAAAATATTCTCCAGGTACTTTGAATAATGAAATTGTTATATCTCCAGGAGGTCCTAGTCTATATGGTACCTGTTCAGTAGTGTATTTGATTGCATAAGCATTATCCATAATGTTTGTATGTACCAGTATGCTGGTAGTGTTTTTTACCAGCAATTTTTCGCATTGTACGCAATAATATAAAATACATTTATTCAATCCCTTTCTTTCTTAAAATTGAATTAAGTTTAATCCTCATTTCATACAAGCTTTGATTACAACCATTTTTAATTCTCATGCTTCTGTTGTTTGAAACTGTAGTGCTTTCACTAAAACAATATTTTATGGCGTTGGCTTGTGAGCGGGTTTAACACTTTTCATTCCTTTTCAGTCCAAAACTAGTGGCTTAATGAACCAGCTAGAGGCTTAATGAACCAGCTAGATGCTTAATGAACCAGCTAGTGGCTTAATGAACCAGCTAGTGGCTTAATGAACCAGCTAGT